ACACCGCTGTTGGCCCGTCTCAGTCCTTGGCCGACGACCACTACTCTAACGCGTTTCCTCCTCGATCTGAGTTGTCGCCTCTCTCTGCGACTGAATATCCTCTGCCTCAGCTACAGTAAGACTTCCTCCTTATCTAAGATATGTTTTCTTAGTCCTCCTACGTCGGCTAAGTAGGTTATTCTCTTCCTGAAGTATCTGGACCTCAGACCTCAATAAGGCAATCTTATGTATAAATCCACGCGCCCCCTTTAATAAATGCTTAACAGCCTTAATAATTAAAGTTGGTGAGCTATTTTGATAGCGTGAGATTTGATTCTTAATGAGTTTGGATTAAGAAGACGCCTCTGTTAGGTTGTTTAGCGTCTGAGAAGTCCACGCAGGGGGTGTTGTTAGGAGAGACCCTAGAGGCGTTAGAGTGTGTAACTTCATATCAAGCTTAGATAGCACACTCTCTGCACGTAAAGGCATAAGCCTAGCCCCTCTGAATCCTCTCTAAATGTTTTTTTCTATAATTGCTTTTGTTAATGCTCTGTAAAACGCAGGGAAGAAGTCCTCCTTTATGATATAGGTATCACCCTGTCGCATCTTTTCCTCAATTTCTCAGCTGTAAGCCTTCTTCAGTGGCCTAAAACACCTAACATCTAAGGGCTGAAGTAAATAAGAGGAATAGGCTGGCATATAAAGTGTAATAATATTATTTTCCTTGTAATATATCTTAAAGTCAGCTGCATAGTGACTTTCATAACTATCGATAATGAGGAGGCGATATCTGCCACTTATATGTAGTTTTATATGCTGATCAAAGTGCTGGAGCTAATCTAGGCCTCTTTTGTTTATTATCCATCTGTTTTCAGACGTTATAATAACCTAGTTGTATAGTAGATTGGTTTCAGTATACCAGGTGGAGAGGTGATATTAGCCTGCAATAATGATATATAGCGGAACGCTGTAGCCTGACGAACTGATAGCCTGAATAACTGTAACCTATTTATAATTGCTAGGCTGCATCATTTTTATGTTTGAACGCCTTTCAGCACTTATGATAACCATCCCAGATGTAATCTGGCCTATTATAAACCCAGTCTCATCAAAGTTATAGATATCAGAGTCCATAATGCTGTATTTTGCGATCATGTTCGCCATAAGATGAAACTATATATTTATTATATCTGGATCTTTATATTAGGCCCTCTTATAGTCATACTTGCGAAAAAAGCGCATCTAGAGCTATAGTTGTCGCTTAATAAAGTTTGAAGCCTAGCGCTTCCCAACTGGGGGTGCGTCGCAGTCGGCAAGCAGTCAATTAGCCATATCTTTAACACTACTAATCTGGGGAGGAAATAATTAGGAATCCAGGTTGAGAATATACTCAACAAGCTTTTCTTCTTTAAGCGTAGTTAATTTCTGCAAGTTAGGCGTGGTGTCATATCGTGATGATCTTCCCTTCAATCGATCGTATAACGTTATAACTGGGACGGAGTAGATCTAGGCAGCCTCTCAGATACTGAGACTTAGTGTGTTTTTGATAGCTTGGACTGCTAGGACTACTTAAGCTTCTTTTTGTGTTGATGCTATTGTTATTATGGGATTGATGTGTGGTAGAAGTAAGAAGATGCTGTGGTTGCAGTTAGGTGTTCGGCTTGCTTGTCTGTTCGGCTCGCTTATCATTTACGTTATTATACTTTAGGAAAATTAGTAATAATAATGATGCTATATACTTAATATCACAAAGTAGGGGTTATAAAAATAAGTGAAAACAGGTTAATCTGTTAGAAATAGTGATATAAGTTGAAAGCGTATTAAATACGCCTATGCCATATAAAGCTATAAGCTATAAGTACCTAACTAACTACGATATATCCCTCTAGCTTTATATATATAATATAAAGCTGAAAAATAAAGCTATATATAAATAAAAAGAGGCTTATTTGCTTTACTTTTTAATAGATAGTGCGATAATATCGGTCTACTATAGTTTTTATTAAGGGTAGTCTCTATAGATTAGCCTCTACTTCTACCTTCATCTTTCGCTAAGCTAGTAATACTCTACTATAGTTTCTACTAAAGGTAGTCTCTATAAATTAACGTCTTTTAAGCCTTATAATATAAAATACTATAACTACGCTATTTTACTATAGTCTCTAATATAAGTAATCTCTCTAAATTAATATTACTTTATATAATTATATCTAAAAGTAACTATAATAATGTTTATAATAGATATAGCGTCTCTAGCGCCTTAATAATCTGTTTTTCGCTTTAGAGATAATTTTAAATTTAGCTTCACTTTAGCTTTAAGAGCGCTTCTAAGATAATTTTTTTTTACTAGCTATAAGGTAAGCTTTATGTTTAGTTTATTTACCTCATAAAGCTATCTCTAAGCAGCTATATTTTATAACTAACCATTAATATTTTCTTATTATATAAGCACTTTTAGAAATTATTATCTCTATAGCCTCTACTTAAAATAGAGTTATTTTATATATAGGTTTCTAAAATTACATAGAGCAAAGGCTTTAAGTAGCCTCTAAGCGTAATATAGATATTATATTAGCTTTTTTAATTTATATATTAGTTAACAAAAGTAGAAAAGATCGCTTTATATTTAATAACGCTATATATAGGCTAATTAGTCTCTTCTGCTGTAATAAGTTTAATAAAGCTTTATTTAGCTTAAGATAGCATAAGGCGTTTACTAAGTACTTCTAAAAAGGTATATAAAGTAAGGACCTTTTAGATCTTATGGATCTAATATGCTTATATATATTAATATATATAATGTTACTTCTAATACTATGTCTTTAGATTTATTACTACTATAGCTCTCTATAGTAAGGTAAAGTAGTTATTTTATATAGTAATAACTATAGAGGGGACTATTAGTAAAAAGTAATTCTTAAGTATATAAATCAAGGTTTAAATTAAAGTATTCTTAATAAGAATAAAGTTACGTTATATTATTATTAATATTTTATAGTTTATAATATGTCCTATATACTCTTCTTAAATATTTTTAACTGTAAATATAAGTAGTAGTAATAGCTTAGTGTTAATAAGGTTTAGCTAGTAAGTATAATAGTAAGTAGCTTAATTAGTATAAAGTTAGATATATATATATCAAGCCTCTTCTTATCGCTTTATATGTAGTTTCTTAAGTATAAGAAGCTATAGTACTTATCATATTAAATTAAATATCTCTTTACTATAAAGTTTAATATATGCCTATATGTTATTCTAAAATATATAGAAGTATAGTTATATAAACTACATAAGCTAGTTATACTATTTTATGAGGTGTATACTAGTTAGCTACTATTAAGCTATTAAAAAAGATATTATAAGATAAAAGATAAACTATATTAAGCTATAGCTTATTTTATAGTATATTAGAAGGTACAAAGCGTTATATTAAGAGCTAGGCTTATAACTATCGTAAAATAGAGGTTATAGAAATAAGTGAAAATAGGTTAATCTCTTAGAAATAGAGATATAAAGTAAAGGTGTATTAAATACGCTTATATTATATAAAGCTATAAGTTATAAGTAGCTAACTAGCTATAATACTTAAGTAATATTTACTCATAGAACTAAGAAACTTACGTTTAGTTTTTACTAACTGCTAAGTGAAATAGCTTATATAAGCTTATATAAAGAAACTAACTTTAGTAAATAATTAGAGGATAATATAAATCAAAAAGGGGAAGTAAAAAGCTATATTTTAAATAAATTTAATAAGTTTAAAAACAAATAAGCTATTTATACTAAATACTTACTAACTAGATAATAAATATATATAAGTAAATAAAGAGCCTAAAACCCCTTTCTATAAATCAAATAAACTATAGAGCTAAATATTTATAGCTATAGCTAATACGTTAGCTTAAACTAAAGAGCTAAATAAAGCTACTAGCTAGATACTAATATAATAAATTATAACTATAATAGCTAACTAGTATAAATTAGTTACTGTCACGGGCTAGAGCCCGGCCGAGATCTCCAGCTTTGCCGGAGCAGCTACCGAGACCCGGCTCCGCCGGGTCCACTATTCTGCCGTGGCACACCGCCTAGCCCCGGCGTGCTTCACCGCCGCTAGGCGCCTATCCCTGTAAAGTCCCTTCTTCCTTCTTCAGCTTAGAATAGTTAATCGACGGCACCTCTACGTTGAACAAGCCTAGGGGCCAGCCCCTTACATATTCTAAGCTTAACAAAAGAAGACGCTATACGAAACGTCACGAGAGCGATACAACTGATTCGCTGAGGGTAGCGTAACGGGAAGACGCTATATGAAACCTCACGAGAGCGACACGATGGATTCGCCAGAGGGTAGCGCAAACGATGCGATGACTGCAGAGATTAACCGCAGGGTTAACGAAGCGGTTAACGCAAGCATACGTCCTCTTTAGGACCAGATGGTCTAGCAGTCGACCTAGATGACGCAGCTCTTGACAGCTCTAAATGGGCTTATGTCACCAGATAGAGCAACCCCTACGCCGCTTGCGAGTAGCATACCAACCCTATCCACAGCTGATACGACTATACAGGCTCTAAGTGACGGTATAGTGAAGGTAGCTGAAGGGCGAAAGAAGCCCCTACTGAATCCCCTAAAGTTCACAGGAAAGCGTAAGGACTACCCAGCATGGTCTCAGCAAATGCGCGATAAGATAACCCTGGATATATGGTGTATAGGGGGTAAGGCTGAGGTCTGGTATTATATCAACTCACGCCTTGATGTTAACCCTCAGCAAGTTGTTCCTACCTTCTATGCTGCTGGTGGCCCTGAGGGTAAACGAGACCCCTCTGAGTTTATGAGGTACTTAGACCGTATATATAAGGACCTAAGTGCTACCTCTCGCGCAGCTGCTACGCTACGAACGATCTGGCAACAGGACGATCAGTCTCTCGCCTCTTTTCTCCCCCGATTCGAGAGAATACTGTCAGAAGCTGGAGGAGCAAGTTAGGCAGACCAGGCGAAGATAACCCTCCTCGAGGGAGCACTTAGTATGCAGCTCCAGCAAGCTCTCGTTACTGTCAACCTCCCTGTTGATGACTACCATAGATGGCTTATGCGCGTACAAGACGTAGCTGCAAGGCTAGAGAGACTTCCAGCTATAACGCGTGGGAACAGCTCATACCGCCCTAGAGCCCCCAAAGCAAGCAGGCACTGCGACGACGATGGTGATATGGTTATGACCGGCGTAAGCCGCGCAAGGAACAAGAAGAGAGCTATAGAACCGCAGCGCCATAGACGCTACTCCTCCTCATCTAAGTCTGAGGGTAGTGAGCAACCACATAAGGACAGTCGCTGATGTTATAACTGTAACAAGATAGGCCATATCGCTATATAGTGCCCTAAGCCAAAGCGTTCAGGACCAAAGAAGGTTAAGAAGGTTAAGAAAGCCAAGAAGCTAGAGGAGAGCAGCAATAATAGTGCTACAGATGAGTTGAGAAGTTCTGAGGCTGAAGAGAGCTTGGGAAAAGAGTAACTCTAACGCAAAGTCAGGCGTTAGAGGCAAAGTCTAGTGATATCATAGAATAGAAGCAGTTTAAGCATCGCATGAGCAGCAAGTCAGCAGTGATCACTACCTATATATATAGGGGCACTTAGGCAGACGCCCTAGTGGACACTAGGTGCGACCTATACGCCCTTATCGACCATAACCTAGCCTGTAAGCTCCGCCTGCCTATAGTAGACCGCTCTAAGCAGGTACTAGGCAGCTTTAGCGATAGTATAGGTGCTACGAAAGCAACAGGCGTAGTTGTCTTTAACCTTAAGCTATGCGGTTATGACGAGAAGATCTTTGCGTATACTGTACGTGGCCTTAGCGACGACCTATTCCTAGGGAAGCTATGGATGGAGAGGAACTGTATCCTATATGATGCTGCGGCACAGCGTATACGGCATAGGAGGGGTGGTGTAGACCTACGTCTGAAAGGCGAGGAAGAGCCAGAACGAGTACGCCAGATCAGGACTGCCCGCTTGCTCCCAGGAGCCCCTTTTGCAACGCTCTATAAGAGGGTATATCAACGCACCAAAGGCACTACCAGACATAAAGTTTAAGCGATCAGCCTAGCAGATATACAGAAGGCTCTTATGAAGAAGACTGAGAAGGCAGACCTAAAGGCCCTCCTTCCGCCAGCTATACTAGCTGAGTTCCGCAAGCTATTCCAACCTGACGAAGCCGCCAACCTTCCACCGCATCGCCCTAGGGTCGACCATAGGATTCCTATCAAACAGGACGAAAGTGGTAATAAAGTCGTACTACCATGGGGTCCGCTCTATAGCATGTCATGAGAAGAACTCCTCGTCCTCCATAAGACCCTATGAGACCTACTTAATAAGGGCTTCATCTGCGCTAGCAGCTCAGAAGCATCAGCCCCAGTACTATTCGTATATAAACTGAACGGAGGAATATGTTTCTGTGTTGACTACTACGCTCTTAACAAGCTTACTAAGCGCGACTGATACCCTCTTCCCTTAATTCGAGAGACGCTATAGACTGTCAGCGCTGCTAAGTGGTTCACTAAGCTAGACGTAATAGCAGCGTTCCATAAGATCTGGATCGCTCAGGGAGAGGAGTATAAGACAGCCTTCTGGACGAGATATAGGCTATTTAAATGGCTAGTTATCCCCTTTAGGCTCACAGGAGCCCCCGCCATATTCTAACGATATATTAACAGCATACTTCGAGAGTATCTAGACGACTTTGCAACAGCATATATAGATGACGTCCTGATCTACTTAAACAGATCATAATAAGACCACAAAGCAAAGGTTAAGCTAGTACTGCATAAGCTTGCTGCAGCAGGGCTATATTTAGACCCTTATAAATATGCGTTCTCTGTGAAGACAGTTAAGTACCTAGGGTTTATCATTACAGCTGGAGTTAGTATCTCTTGTGGCCCTGAGAAACTGAAGGCGATTAAGGAATAGGCAGCTCTAAAGATAGTTAAGGGAGTCTGAAGCTTCCTTAGGTTTGCAAACTACTACTGGATCTTTATCCCAGCATACTTAGAGATTGCTGGACCCCTGATAGCTCTTATAAAGAAGGGTGTCCCCTTCTGCTGGGGTAAGGAATAAGAAGTAGCATTCCAGGAGCTTAAGAGGATCTTTGCTGCTAAGCCTGTTCTATACCAACTGGACCCTAGGCGTATAACCTATGTTGAGGCTGATTGCTCAGGCTTTGCCCGTAGAGGCATACTCTCACAGGAAGATAAGCACAGCAGACGTCATGCAGTAGCCTACCACTTATAGCAGCTTAACACTGCCTAGTTCAACTATCTGATATATAATAAGGAGATACTAGCTATTATAAGCTGTCTATAAGAATAGAGAGCAGAGCTATAGAGTGTTAGCTACTTTAGGATCTTATCAGACCATAAGAACCTAAAGTACTTTATAATAAAGCAGAAGCTTACAGAACGGCAAAGCTGATAGGCAGAGGAACTATCTCAGTATAACTTTGAGATATAGTATCAGCTAGGAAGCAAAGCAGTAGTGCTAGACGCACTCTCTAGATGTGAATAAGACGTACCTATGTCTCTAGAGGATAAGCGTAAATAAGGTTGAATCCTACAGCTCCTCCTAGAAGCAACCCTACCCTCAGCGCGTATATAACGTATAGAGGCAGCATTATTAATGCTTATATTTACTGATGACGAAGAACTATAGCAACTCTGGGATCAGACCTAAGGATAAGATGAAGTCTACCAGCAGGCCTATGCTGCTATAAAACAACGAGAAAGAAGCTTCCCCCTAAGCCTTAAGCTAAAGGTTCAGATCGCTAAGTGTGAGATTAATAATAGCAACTGACTACTATTTAGAGATTAGATTTAGGTATTAGGTAATAAAGATCTAGATAATGATATAAACACACTACACACCTATATCGTTTAAAGCACCTACGACTTAGTGCTTAGTGGCTATCTAGGAAGAGATAACACCCTCACGCTGGTTAGTAGACAGTTCTACTAGCTTAGTCAGTCGCACTTAGTATGGCGTTTCTGCTGTAACTGCAATAGTTATAGGCATAGTTATATCTAGAGGGAACGTCGTAAGGGACTTCTGAAACCACTACTGATACCACAGCATATATAAAGCAACCTCGCTATAGATTTTATTACTAACCTTCCCCTTATAGATAAGGGCGAGAGATATCTTTAGGTAATTATCGACCGGCTAGGTAAAGGCGTAACCCTCAAGGCGAAAGAAAGCATAGAAGCTGAAGCCTATGCTGAATAATTCCTGAACTGCCACTTTAGGTTTCACAGCATCCCTACGTTAATTATGAGCGACAGAGGGAGCAACTAGATAAGCTGCTTCTAGCGGCAGTTCTGCAAGCTTTTGGGAATAGAGCAGCAGCTTAGCACCACCTACTACCTGCAGACTGATAGAGGCCTAGAGAGGATAAACCAGGAGATCCAGGCCTACCTATGCAACTACGCCACCTACTCACAGAAGGACTAGGCATATAACCTTCCAGCAGCTCAGCTAGCGCTTTATAGCTGCGATAATAGCGCTATTAGGATGAGTAGCTTCTTCCTAGAGCATGGATATAACCCAGAGCCTATTAAGGTCAAGGAAGCAGGCCTAGCAAGCCCTGAGGGCACCTGTGAGGGCTAAGCACGCAAGTTGGTAATAAGGCTTCAAGATATGATGGATATAGCCTAATCGACCCTCGCCTCAATGTTACGACCCGTAAACAAGGATAACAGCTGAACGACCCACTCGGGCGTCGGGCGGCTAGGACAGGACATTTGTACTGCAGGGTCACAGGAACAACAGGAACTCACTCGGAGACGGAAGAACTATGGTATAAGTCACGTGATGATAAGATAAGACTGAGCAGGCAGTGTGGATCACTGAGCGCTCAGTCGAAGTTACTGAGCACTCACCAACAGTCAATGAGCGCTCACTGGTACCTGGTGAGGGATCAGTGATAGAGTAAAGGGTACTGTTCAGAACTTGTATATAGTATGACCCTGAGCCTGGCTCATGGTCAGACTTCCATAGCTCTTCAGCAATCAACTTAGTATTCATCCTCACGGATACTCTCAGCTTACCTTCACTGCAGATCACTTATTGAGTCTAAGACTGATCACCTTGGCCTCTGAAGAACCGATCTACTACAGCCTACGAACTACGACCTACGACCACGACCCAGTGTACTGTTAGAACGTATCAATCCCCAGCTTCTGTTAGCAGACCCTACTGTCGGATAGCTGACCGTAACACTCAACACAGTAAAGCTACGAGGAGCTGGCTAATAGGAAGCGCCAGCCTACAGAGAGACTAGAAGTAGGCGACAAAGTCTGGCTTCACATAGGGTATTACAGATCCCCTAGGCCTTGCAAGAAACTAGATTAGTTACACTATAAGTATACAGTTACAAAAGTTATCTCACTATATGTAGTAGAGCTTGATATACTAGCAGCTATATACCCACGCTTCCATATAGATATCCTGAAGCGCGCAGGTAACAACCTCTTACCTAGTCAAACGTTAGATGACGAGCAGCCGCCACTAATTATAGACGATAAAGGCGAAGAGACCTAGAGTGTAGAGAGTATCAACGCCGCTACCTAGAAGCGTTGAGGGCGCGGACGACGCTGCGAAGTTCTGGTTAAGTGGGAAGGATATACAGAGAGGACCTAGGAGCCTGTCGAGACGCTCCAGGGGACAGAAGCAATAGAGGCTTACGAACGCCGTTATGGCTCTGCGATAGAGCACGATGGAGACCCAGCCTTAGCGCCGCGGGCGCGCCGCCGGAGGGGAGCGGGGGGGTGATGTCACGGGCTAGAGCCCGGATTGATATCTCCAGCTTCGCCGGAGCAGTTACTGAGATCCAGCTCCATTGGACCCACTATTCTGCCGCAGTACGCCGCCTAACCCAGCCTGCTTCACCGCTGTTAGGTGCCTACTCTTGTAAAGTCCTTTCTTCCTTCCTCAGCTTAGAATAGTCAATCGACGGCACCTCTACGTTGAACAAGCCTAGGGGCCAGCCCCTTACACTTTAGGGCTATAGCGTTCTAGTTAAATAAGTTCTGCATTTCTCAAAAATTATTCTTAGTTTTCTAGCGCTCTTACTTAAGCTTATTATTATTATTATCGCTATTATTATCGCTCTCTATATTATCTTTATTTTTTATTTCCTAGTCTCTAAGTTCCTAGGCTAAGTTCTAGGGTGCTTATCCACTAGAGGCTGCAGAGGAGGATCTTAAGGTAGGGGATTTAACAGAGGCATAAGAGGATATTTTATCTATACTATTTAGCAGTATTAAAGGTTAACTTACTGAATAGGAGTGATTAAAATGTTATAGTTAGCTAATCTAATAGTAAGGTCTATTAATAGAAGCTGAGGGATAATATTAATAAATAGTAATATATTATCAGAAGGTCTCTAAGGTTATTCTAAATAGATTAAAGTCTAAAAGGTTATAATAATTAGTTATAAGCTTAATAAAATATTTATAGTATAAGATATATTAAATTTATCTAAGGGATAAATATAAGGTTAATTACTAAAGAGCTATAGAAGTCTATCCCTAAGCTAAGCTTAAGTCCATCCTATATATAAGTCCCAAACTATTCCTTCAGGCTGCCTATATTAAATATCTCAGATATCCCATATATTCCAGAATAGTTAGAATATCTCACATATTAAACACATTATCCTGCAGCCATCCTTATCCATGCTATTCCTAAGGTCACATAACTTATCCATAGTTCTTCCGTTCCAAGGATCCCTGATCATCCTTTTGTCACTAGGTCACATATATCCCACGTTAGCCGCTGAGAGCCTGGCGGGGTTGTGTTGGTAGCTAAGCCCAACGGGTCGTAACAGGGGCTTACTAAATAAAAAATAAAACGTCTAAAAGTAAAGGGTATAAAACTTAGAGAAAACAATTTTATTTTTTTAAGGAATAGAAAGAACCTTCTGAAAAAAACTTAAAATACTAAATAATATAACTCTAAAAATAGAGTCTTAAGATTTATTATAATAATATTAATAATAATGAATAAATAACTTCTAGTAAGTATATTGTAGATAACTATTATATAGATAATAAGAATAGTTTATAATAATAATAATAACTATAAAAACTTGTTATAAATTATAGAGGTTCTTATTTTATTACTATTTTTATTCTATAGTAGAGATTACTATAATTAAAAAGGGGATAATTATAAAGGTCTAGCTACTTAAACTAAAAAGGCTTAAAAATAGCTTCGCTAAACTAAACTAAAGAGGTAGAGAACTTTATAGAGGTAAAGTATAGAACTCTCTATAGCGAAAACTTAATAAGTACTTACTGAAAAGTTAGAAAAAGAGATTTTAGAAGAAGTAAGTAAAAATAACATAGTAATATTGTACTTACTTTTTAGGTACTTCTTTTATTAGTTTAACCTAACTATAGCTTATAGCTTCTAAAAACCTTTACACTTTCTTAAACAAAAACCTCTTTAATATATATTTAACTTAATTATTATTATAAACTATAGCTAGCTTTATGATAACTACTTATAAGTGTTGATTATCTTATTACTATTATAAACTTTAATAAGAACTTTAAGAAAAGAAGCTAATTACTTCTAAATATATTAAATAAACTAAGCTTAAGATTTATCTTATTAAGAGAGAGAAGATAACTTAATACTATACTAAAGCTTATATGTTATTTTAGAAAACTTTAAAGTTTAAGAAAAATATATATAAGCTTTACTAATAGTATTATTAGTATTACTAATACTAATATTAATACTAACGTTTTAAAGTAGAAGCTATAATAGGCTTCATAATAGCTAGATTTATAATAATAGAAGTAAAGAAAGTAGGAGAGATATTACTAGCAAAGCTTTCTAGTTTTAGAGAGGTTAGAGTACTAGTTAAGCTTATAGAGGATACAGCTAAACTAATAAAACATATAGGATTATTAAAGTTATTAACTTAATTAAGTAATAAGTAGAAAGAATAATATTAATTAAAAAAACGTTATATTTAAGCGATTTGAGTATTAATTAGTAAAACTAATAAAACTAACTAAAAATATATTTACTATAGTCTTTTTAAACAATTATATAACTTAGTTAATTATTAGGTAAATTAGACTAATTAGAGGCTGTAGTTGAGCTGAAGTAGGGCGGCAGAGGTGCCCTACACAGGCAGGATAGCTAGGTTACCCAGGCAATTTAACCGGTCTCTTATCTATTTACCCAGGCCGCCCATGGCGGCCAAGAAGCGCTATTTAAACCCCTGCAATCTAACAAAAGGACCTCGCTGGCCATCCCTTTAACCACCGGATGTGTATTTTAGCGTCGTTTTCCGACGCCCAATGATATTCTTCCAGAAAAGAGGTTCTCGATCAATCAGATACTGTAAATCCTCCCTTGATTGCCTTCTTCAGTGACTTACCAGGAAAAAGCCGCGCTGAAAGTCTGGTGGTCAACGGGATGGCCTGAGGGGTGTTCAGCTGGGGCGGCTGGATATGCTGTGTAACGCGAGATAAGGTAGAGTACGACATACCCAGTTCCCATGATAGGCGGATATGCTGGTTGTCAAGCGCCGGCCTGAAACAAATATTCCCACTGTGTGTCATCTTTGCGAACGCTTCCGTCTCCCCTCGCCCTACTGGTAGTCGAAATACAGAAATGAAGAGCTTAACCGGCCCGGAAAGGAGAGGAGTTTGCTGGTTCGCGTTCTTAATTAGATGGTGATCTTGCAAGCTCCAACGTACCTCCCCGCCCTGAGCTGTTGTCCTGAGGCACCCAGTCACCCACGAGTACCTCTTATCCGTCTCACAGCCGATTCGGCTTCCATTGCTCAACACCATGGCCTCGCCAAACCAGCCCTATCTGTCGTCCAATGTCGGACCAGAACCTAGTCGCCCAGCCAGTACTGCAGACAGTGCCGAGCAACAGGCCGCTGTGTCCTTTCCCTGGGTTATTGAAGAAAGCAATGTCAAGAGCATCAAGTCCATGGAGTACATATCCCTACTGCCTGCATCAATGCGTGTTGGTAACAACCTAGCGTGTCCCAATCCTACGACGGTTCTCGATTTTCTTGACGCGGAGACTCAGCTGGGCCGGCTTGACAAGATTCACGATGATCTCTGGCTAGCAGGACGACCTGTTCCACCGCGACCTCTCTATACCCAACGGATCCTCAAACGCGATATCTACATTACCGAAGACCTGGACATGCACCTGGTCTGGGGCGATGGGCGTATCTACCTCAAGCCACTGCCTATTTTCATGCTGGAGCCGTGCTTTTGGACCGAGGCCTTGCAGTGCTGTTGCAAAACGCCGCAATATCAACCCCCTCAACAGTCTTCCAGCGAAGGCTCATGCGTATGCGAGCGGCTGGGCCAGTGCAGAAAGCGTGCCCGGGGCCTTCTGTTCTCCTACACTGGTCTAGTGTCCAACAAGAGCGACCACGCCATCGCCCTGGCGAACGGTCTCTTCCCCGCAAGCCTGACTTGGCCCAAATGGCAAAGGATGGCCGCGCACACCCTGAGCAACCCTGACCTCTACAACTCGATCGACCGCCGATTCTGGTACGGCGAGCTCCGCCTCACCAGACTGAATAAAATATTTTTCTACAAGTACACGCCCGGAAAGCAGTACAAGTCGCAGTGGAACCAGTATAGCTCCTTTTTTGATGACAACTTGGGCTTTATAGTGAGCACCTTTGCTTACGTAGCCATCATCCTGACAGCGATGCAAGTCGGGCTTGCTACGGAGCTTCAGCACAACACCTCTTTCGAGTCGATGTCTTCCGGTTTCACCATCTTCGTCATCATAGGTCTCGTCGTTGCCCTCAGCTTCGTCATGATTGCGTTCCTGTATCTCTTCGCGAACAACTGGGTGCATACGAAGAATTTTGAGAAGAAGAGGTTCAAAGAGTTCCACGAATACGGAAACTTTGTTGTCCGCTCCAAGGGTGTAGCGGCGATGTAGCTGGCAGAGGTCCGGTGGAAGGCTGGAAATGTCATGGTGTGAGGGCTGCTTGCTTTTCGTACCTATGCTCTCAGAGTAATCTCTTCATCATATCTCCGCTATTTAGATATTGATGTGGGTTTACATGTGTATTTCGTTCCTCGTTTCAAGAACCTGATCATGAGGTCTTGATGCAATTGATCTAGCTCCCTGCTATGAGCAATCTAACCCAGAGAGAGAAATACTGTGTAGGCCGCACGCTAGTGTGCTGTCCTCCTTATGCAGACGTTACGCTTCGTTCTAGAGACTTCTATTACTTCAATGTTAGTAAGATTCTATCCAACAATTCCTCCCATTGGGATCACCAGAGGCCGACTCTAGCAGAACCGCATGGACTGCCTGAGGGTACGGCAACTGGAATGACAGTTTCGAGTCGGTTGTGACCTGAAGTCCGTCTGGTCGGACGATTGCGTGCCACAGTCAGCCGGGTGCATACATCCCCCCGGGCCCGAAATCAGATGTTATCGAAATCATTCTGACGACGTCATTCCCTTTTTCCGACCTAATATTCAAGACACGTGCTTATTGCGATTGACGGAAGCTCTGCTGTCCCGCATCGCGAGCCTGGCTTTCTCATCTTTTGTTCCTTAGATTTGCTGTTACTTCGTTTAGATGTCCTTCGCGTATTTCTCTAGCGGAAAATTATGAAACGCGTAACGTGCTCGAGTGAAAGTGTTCCTCAAATCGCAAAGAAACATGCAGAAGACGCCGAAAATTCCAGATGATGAGAGAAGGTTATTCAAAGCTCGAACTTGAGGTAATATTCGCCTGCTATTGGTCTGCTATTGTGAGCGCTCGACCCATAAACTGTCATGGATGAGACGCGTAACAAGCCCGTGAACGTGGCGATGTGATGTAGAAGAACCCAGCTAGGATAGCCCGCAGGCCTGGAGGTTGGAAGGAGGCGGCCCAAGCCCGGCCCGGCCACTGTGGCACCTCCAGCGCGGCCAGGTGCCGCCACTCCGCCCCTCAGGCTCTATGGCCTGCCGGCACTGGTAAGCGTACAAAAGGAGCACAATTCTATGAACCTCGCAATCGAGCCAAATCGCTCGAATCCGATTAGTTTTCGGGTTGTTGAACAACTCGGTCAAACTTCGGATAGGTCCGTGGCGGCACCTGTGCGCAGGTGCCGCCACAGAACCAAAGGCATGGTAGTGAAAATTGAGGCTATTTAAAAGACTTCATGATGGGCGCCTGGCTCATAAACTATGAAGACGCGTAGACTGTAGTGATTACGGTGATACATGGACAAAAACTAGAGTGCGCGGAGGCCTGGAAGCAGAGTCGGGAGCAGGCGCCGGGGCCAAGAGTACCACCGGCGGATCTCCGGGGCGTGAAGGACTACTGAGCCGTCCGGGCGTCGAGACCAGTGAAAGCCTTTACAGTGCCGACGTACCATCGACTGCCGTCGTGGAAGATACCATGGGTTGTAAGATAGACATTGGCCAAGGTTCAGGGGCGGATGGGCTGGAGTCTCTGCCTTGTCGTGTTTACGGTCGTGCGGTCGATGCTCATCACAGCGTGAGGGCGCATAACTCCGAGTAGGCTAGGAAAGAGGGACCTGGGAATTGACAATTTTCATTACCGGCGCCGGCAGTCCTCGTCCTTCTGGCAGTGCTGGACAGCCCTCCAAGACGAGTAGGTTGCTATTTGAACAATGAGGCAGCCTGTTGCTCTTACGACGACACAGGAAGAATATTGGTGGGCCCCGCTTTCACTATTGCTCAGCCGGGTACTCAACTCCGATGAGCCCAAACACAGTCATTTACCATAAGGAGGTAGCCGGAGCGAGAATCAGTGGTAAAAACCAAAGGAAATTTATATTCATTATGGTGTAAAAATATGTTCTACAGTAGCGCCAGCTGCCTTCTGTTCTGGTGGGACTTGCTTCTTGTTTGGTGGCCAGGGAGGTACTCGGAGTAACAATCAAGGTCAGCAACTTCGGGGCCATCATAAGCGACTACGCCATCACCCTCATCATAGGTAATAGTAGGTAATGTTGTATCCGTCATCCACAGGCTTGGGCTGTTGTGCAGGCTTGGGATTTTCGTCAACTACAGCCTTAACGGTCGGTTATCGACGAAGAATGTGCATCTAGACGTAGATACGATGATTTCGATTGCCCTATCCCTCCTGACGTATGGACCCGAGCCGTTCCATTAGCACACAGTGCTCAAGTAAAGGGGCTTCCTTGATCTGAATTCTGAGCAGCAGCATTCTCGAGCTCTCAGCCCATTTTCACATGCTTATTCTTCTGGGCATTCGACGCGCTGTTGCTCGGCTTGAGCTGTTCCAAGGTATGTCAGCAACGCTCACAAGGATGGAGACTGGGGCCCTACCCTTCAGTTCTGCCTCAGGTGTTGCCGTCAATCGCGCAGCGAAGACGCCTTGTGTGAGAGAGAGAACCGTTGCCTTGTGCTCCCGAATTTCATCAGTACTTTGAATGGGCCGTCTTGACGCCTGATGCCTTTCAAGTACTCGTGCACATTGGGAAATCGTGCTCCACCGACCCTGAAAGCTCTCAAACTTCTCATGGCGTCCGGACGTCTTGGCTGCCCAGGGGCGGTTCATCAGGGATCCTCTCTGTGCTTCCTTTGCGGAGCCCTTGAAACCGACGTCAGCATATTCTCGAAGCCATGGTACGTTTTGCGGTGCCAACAGACCAGCAAAGTCCAAGCGAGGAGCTCCAACTCCAAATCTGACATATGATAGTGCAGTACCGCCGGGAGCAGCTTGTCTTGGGTTCTTGTAGGGTCATTCTGAAGCGCCTCGACCTTTGAAAGTGTGAGTTCTAGCTTTTCTTCTCGATCGCCCGCTGCTTCTCGGAAAAGTCGGATGTATCCGCCAACGCAGCGAAGGTTTGCTCCGCGTACTCCCTGTCCTGCTGAGCAGATGTCGGGAATGTGGCGTCGAGCTCAGGGGTCTCGTTCACGCGAACAGGCTTTTTGTACGCCGCTGACAGAAGACCGACATAGGCGGCGTCTCTCATAATACCACGGAAGGCCATCGTAGCAGGCTTTGCCAGGTCTGACTTGATGAGCTGATCATGGCTTTCGGCGTCGTCGCCAATCGGCTCTTCATAGAGTTGGGCCTCTCGGGGGCTGCTTGTGACATCCATTGTACCTCCATCCACAGCTTCATATCTTTCTGGATAACATAGAGCTCCTGGTCAAGTGATGAGGTAGCTGCCGCTGTAGCGTTCGATCGGATTTTCTCTGCGAGAGTCAAAAGCTGATCGCAGAAATCGGGCGCTTGAGTTCTAAGCCAAGAGACGCATCTCTGGAGGAAAGGACGAATTTGATCGCGTCGGGGATGGTTCCAAGGCAATATCTCGAAGAATCCAAGATTAGGAACTTCCTAAGTATCATCGAGACTATAAAGCGTGATGATGCCTGCGGGGAGTCAGTCTTGGAAATGCAAGTGGTCAGGATCGTGGAAATAGCGTGTCAAGCGCGCGTCAGGATTTAGGGGCGACAATGAACATGATCTTCGAGGATCGCATGTTGTATTGGAACAGTCAAGGGTGTAGCGTACCAAGAATGACATCTGCTAAGACGCCTCTGCTCTGAGGAGGCACGCTCTCATCCTGCAAGTATGCCAGATCCTCCTAGAACTGCTGGCCATAAGATGCTGGCGCACTTTGCTCCAGGACTAAGGCCCCTCGACTACCGTCATCAGTCAGTAAGCGACGAAGAATCGACAGGACACACGGCGGTATAATACTTGTTGTGAGCCATGATGGTTGGTTTTTGCATCACTCGCTCTACTGCCAGGGTGTGCATCGTGAGAAAGCTGTCGAAGAAGTTGGTTTCTGTTGGAGAGCAACGAGATGCCTGTCCCAGCGGCTTGTCTTAGGCCGCGTGGTACTCAGGGGCCCGACTCGGAGCTGGTCGTGCTTGACACCAGCGTTGCCAGGCAACAAAACCCAATGGCCTTAGGTTCGCCATAGCCACGGCCACGTCCACAGCCAGACCTGCGGTTCTATCGCGGCGACAAAGACGGCGACTTGCGTCTGTCGCGCTTTTGAGATTATTCAGTCAAGCAATGGGACACAAGCCAGGGTGTCTACCGAGGTTCCACTGGCCGTGAGCCGGAGTATGTTGGCTTTTAATTGAGTCCTGAGAGCATTATTTAAGTGTCTTAAGCCAATCCTTACGTTAGGGCGCATTCTTTCTTCCTCCCACGCCCCCTTTCCGCTGCGAAGGTATTGGATATGCTCCTGAAACTGCCGGAGGTGTCCTTCGTAGCTTTACTTCTTCTTCAAGCGGGCAACGCTAAATATTGGGTTCTGCGGGGGGCAGTACCAATTACGCAAGAATTTGAGTAGAAGAGCTTGTCCTTCTGCCCTCCAGCCGTAATGGTGCGCGGCTAAGTCGAACAGAAAGATGCATGAGAGGAAGTGGAGTGGGCTTTCATGCCTTATTCCGTGTTGTATCAGGGGCAAAACTAGGAATAAGCACCAAGCAAAGCGTTTTCCGGAGTATCTGGACCCGTACTCGGGATGAAGGTCTCGGGCTTTGACTTGTTTACACCCATTTACCACCGCAATCTTTGGTCGTAGACAGCGTGGTCAATTCCGTCGAAGGGCTTCAATATTGTAGCGTCATACTCTGACACTATATTGGGACCACGACGTGTATGTAGTCAAATCGAGACCACTTGGTGTCAATCTTCTTTTTTGCTATTGCAGCAAGCACAGGTGGGGGATATGACGAAGCTGGAAGCTGTGAGACCAAAAACAAACAGACAAATTCGCTGCTTGCCTTCCAAGCTTGTTCCTCAAATAGGTAAGTTGAGAATAACAGCAGAACCACGTCCTGATCACGGCTTCGTGTGTGCCCAACCAACTCCGATGCTTATGTGGTATTGAAGGCTCGAAACACAAAACCAGAATGGCCGGTACCTGGAGATGACGAGCGTAATACGGACCCTGCACCTGCTGTCTAGAGATACAGCACCGA